GGGGGCTCCGCGCCCGCCGCCGCCGCCCCGGTGCCCGCGGGCCGCCGCGGCAGCAGCAGCGGGAGCGCGGCCGCCGTCCCGCCTCGGCCCAGCGCCATCGCGGCTCCCCCACGTGAGGCCGCGGCGCTGCCCGATGACGCCGTGGAAGAGCCGCTTCCCTCGGCGCTCCCCGCCCCGCGGAGCCGCGGTGGACCCACGCCAGGAGGGTGAGCGCGGCGGGGTCGGTTCGCCTTTTCCGCTGCCGGCTGAGAGCTGCCCCCGCGGGAGCAAACGCGGCCCTGGGGGGCTGTGGCGGAGACGGCCCGGCGCCCCTCGCTCGGGGGAAAGAGCTCGTGTTGGCGGGGAGCATCTCCCGGTTCCGCTGGGCTCCCTCACGGCTGGGTGAGCGGCCGGACCGGCTGCAGAGGGGGCCCCGTCGGGTATGACGGGGCACCCACTGCCCCTTCCCGCCAAAGGACAGATATGAGCGTTTTGCCGGTAGGAAATCGACGTTCCATGGCTGTCCTCCTTGGCTTTCTCTTTCAGGTAGTACCGCAATAGGAATGACGGTGAACCCACCCCTGTGTTTTAGAGGAAAGAAGATCCTGGCTCCAATGGTGCGAGTGGGAACGTTGCCAATGCGCCTTCTTGCCCTGGACTATGGTGCTGATATCGTGTACTGTGAGGTATGGAGGATAAGCAGATGAGGCAGTCTTATCTGCTCAACATTATTGTTAAGAAAAGAAAGCTAGTTTATTGTAGAACTTGTTCTTATTGCACATGTTTGTCGATTAAAAAAATTGGAGAAAGAAGAATCTCTATGGCTTAAGGCATTTCTCTTTGAGAGTTCTCAAGTTATGGCAAATCTATATTTTAAGCCTATTCAATACTCTCAGTTCATTTAGACAAAACACCATAAGAGTTTCCTCACATTGTACTGTTATTTGGGTTTTGCTGGTTTTTTTTTTTAGTATTTTTATTTTGATTTTTTGGAGTAGAGTCAGAACTTTGATAGAAGTTTTAGACTGACCTTCTGTTTCACCTGATTAGTTTTGTGCATCCATATATATCCCATCACAGCGCCGCTGTCCTTGCTTAACCGCTTTTCTCAAAGCTGGCTAAAATTGAGACTCCAGTTTGCTGCAGATCCTGTTGGTAGGACTGCTCTGTAACTTAAGGTACTTCCAGCCTAAACTGTTCTGTGATTCAATACTCTTACGGTCTTATGTTCTGTTAATATTTTGAAACTTCAGCGTGTTGTATATTAAACTCTTGTTTTAATTTGCTTTCTTTTTCTATATTTGGTCTCTCTAGATAATTAATTATTAAATGGGCAACTTTTTAGACTTTGCTGGCTGAAACACTTCAACTCACTGAGGTTTTTTTATCTTTCCTCCTCAGGAGCTGATTGACATAAAGATGCTGCAGTGTAAGAGGGTTATAAATGGCAAGTATAGCATTTCTTTTGATAGTACCTGTAAGCAGTCTTTTTTCTAATCAAGAGAAAAGATAATTACTTCTCTGAAGTATTTTTCTAGTGGTTACAGTGATGTACCAGAACATACAATCTCTCTGAACTGTGTCTAGGGGCTTAAAGTAAGCTTTTGAAGTGCTACCCTAGACCTGTCTGCTGCTCTACAGTTTCAAACTTTTGGTTTCCCTTCTAAAGGAATTTCAATAGTTCATTTAGTGTCCCTCAGGAAAACCATAAATATTTTTGGAGGACATAGCTAATGTATTAGTAACAAACAGTTTGTTATTCTTTTTAGAGTCCTAGCACAGGGTCCTTCTCCGTCATTAGCTTAGTTTATTACAAGGATTCAGTGAGTTTTCTGTTTGAACTTTTTGACAGGGTCAGGTCACTGGGTGTGCAAGTATTTGCCTTCTAAAATGGAGAGCTGTAATTTTACCTCCTGGAATGGTGTATTTCTCTTTTTCTTAAGAAAAATGGGATCAATGTTGGAAATCCATTGCTAATGTTTCAGCATTGTGCTTTCTGGCAGCAGGTGAAAGAAACTAGTAGCTGGAATAGACTGGACTTTAAAGTTCTAGTGCATTGTTTAAAATGTTAAAGCTTTCCATTTTATGTGGAAAGACAAAGACTAAAATTGTAATGAACAAATAAGCTTCCTAATCTTCCTCAATTCTGTATCTACATACTGGCTCCAGCCTCTCTACTGCCTTCTTATGCTATTATAATGAAGAGTAAACAGTAAAAAACTCTAGGGGTTGTTTTTGTTGTTGTTTTGTGGTGTTTGCATTTATTTTAAAGAAATTTTACATGTGTTTGTGCTAAAATAAAATCTAATTTACTGAATAAAACTATTCATATTAGATACAAAGCCTTTTAATTTTTTTTTAAAGTTTGATAATGTCAAGGGAACAAATTTGTTTGGACAGCAGTAGAGACAGTTTCCAATCATGAGTTTTTAAAATGTTAGCTGTTTGTGACATTATAATATACACACCTCCAAGTGTAATGCAATAAGGAAGCAACACATACAAGGTCTCACTGTTCATCTTTTGTTTACTAACTTGAAGTCCATGGGGTAGACTTGGTTGAACATGATTGTCACCACAAGTTCTTAAAATTATATGCTGAGACCTCCCTGCCTGAGTGGCATAGAAACAGTTGTTTGCAGTGTCCTTGTTGAGGAATAGAAGTTCACTGCAAGTCTACTCTCTCCTCTTGCCCTTTCCCAAAAATAGTACTATTAGGTTCGTTCTGGGTGAGTCATCAGTGGACTTGTTCTGGTGCTGATGTCCAAGGCTGAGGGGTGATTAGGGAGCCCTTTGGGAGGGAAACAGCAATGTGCAAGAAATGTACTGCAAGGACATATAGGAGGTAGGGTGCCATTAGTTCTGCTCTTCGTGGAAGACTTCTTTGATAGCATTTCATTTATATATAAATTACATAGTCCTATGACTTTTTTTATGTTTACATTTGTATATAATTTTCATCTGTTTTATCATTTCTCATTTCATGCAGAAGTACTTGAAACGGTGGACTTTGTTGCACCTAATGAAAGAGTTGTTTTCAGAACTTGTGAAAGGGAGAGGCAACGTGTCGTCTTTCAAATGGTAAGAAACCAACTGCAGGTACTCTACTAACAACCTGGTTAAACAAGGCAGTGCTAGTAACATGTTGATCTAAGTCTAAAGCACCTCCCACTATTGCAGACTGGCAATTTCTTGGTGCTTCAGATGGAGGTAAACTTTCACACCAAATGTGTTGCAGAGTTTCTGATCTGTAGATACATATCCAAGGAGATGCTACATTGTAAACTCTCCTTACAGCTGTTTTCAGAAGTGATGAAGATGAATTCTGTGCTCTGTGACAGCAGCTTGTTTTTGTAATAGGTATCTTTGATTTTTTTCCAAACATAGATTCCAAAAATAAATTATGTTTGATCACATGTTTAAATCTTGTACTGTCCTTTGAAACAGTCTCACTGGAAAGGCTGAAAGAAATAGCATTGTTTAGTATAGATAAGAGAGGATTAATGTGTGCACTAGCATTGCACAAATGGATTAAAGGCTGCTGGAGAGAGAAGGGTATTAATTTGCTCTTAGAGACCACTTTGTGTAGGACAGATGATGATGGGATTGGAGGGAAGGAGAAGTGTGGACTGTATTAAATGCTGAAAAGACCTTTTTCAGTGGTAATGGTAGCCCTGAAATCGGTTACTGGAGGCTGTAGAATTATTAGTGAAGCTTCTTAAGAACATGGAAAATAGATATCTTAGTGCTGATGGGCTAAGAACATTTGATATTGCTGTAGGTAAAGGAGGTGGACAGACCTCTTAGAATCCCTTTTTTGCATTACCTTTTGTCATTCAGTAGCTGAGTCTAGTCCGTGCTTTAGCTAAATATTTTAACTGTCCAGTGTGCTGTGAACGGGTCTCTGTCTACACTAAATGTTAGAGCAAATATAGTTGTACACACGTGCAAGTGAGCAGTTCCTTTTTTTAATTAATTTGTGATACTTTGTAATTATACATCCTCTTGTTCTACCAACAGGGTTCAGCAGATGCTGAGAGAGCCCTGGCAGTAGCTAAGCTTGTGTAAGTTGTCCATGTCATTTCCACCACGGGTTTATTTGGGATTTTTTGTTCAGAGGAATTACTGTGGAAGACAATCTTTTATGATTGAGAGGTTAAAAGCCGGTCTTCGTAGAATCAGGAAAAGTTCTGTAGGAGCTGCACAGTGAAGTGTAGCTTCTGAGAAGGCCAGTGGTGTAACGATGTAACTGCAGCTTCTACTTAAAATAATTCTTGCTCAAAGCAGCAGCTGCATAAATTCTGTACTGGTATTGATGGCTTTTTGCTAGTGTGAGTGTGCCCTTGATCTCCCTAGCGTGAAATTTCCCTGGGTATTGCACAGCTGCAAGTAAGATCAGTATGCCTGAAAATGTCTCTTACTGTTTGTGGTTTAAAACCTCCGATAATGTATTGTGTAGAAATGAAAAGGGGCTCTCAAAAAGGTGTTTTGAAGCCTTAATTTTAAATAGATGGAAGTTTCAGTAGGACTTGCTTTAGTGACAGTGGTGGATTAGTGATGGATATACTTATATATAATATATATATAAGTATATCCTTAACCGTATATAAACATATTTAAGATAAGTACTTGCAGCTTCTGCACAGCATTGGTAATTGAAACCTGTGGAAAGACTGATCTTCAGATCACTGTTAAAATGTATGTATGCAAGTTGTATGTATGCAAGTGGGAAGCTAAAAATTCAGAAATTCAAATAAGAACCACCTTAAGTTCTCATTTAAGCCTTAATGATGATGGAACAAGTTACCTGGAAAGATATCTATTTCCTGATTCTTGTTCTAATGTGCTGAAAAATATTTGTTTCCTCCTTCTTTTTCAGAGAGAGTGATGTGGCTGGTATTGATATCAACATGGGATGCCCAAAAGAATACTCTACTAAGGCAAGTGGATTTTGATTACTCTTAAATAAGCTTTTTCTTTCTTGGAGGTATGGAATACATGGTCTGTTAAAACAATAAATCTGTTCAGGTGTCACTTAATGAGAAGAAACTGGATGATTACAGTTGCTAAAAATAGCTTTTTGAAATCCTGTCTGCTCCATAAAGTAATGAGAGCAAAT